TTACAAGCGCGCACTTTGGCAGAATTCAATTCAAATAGTCATCAGCAGCCATTAGTTCGGTAAAATTGAGCATCAGAATGGACAAATTTGTTATTAAGGGAGAAAAACTAAATGTGGAAAATGCCAGCAAAGGAACACACAAAAACAACAATAATCTATAAGCAGTGAAGGTAGGAGAGTTCTGGACTTTCGGTTTGCCCCGCCACTCACTTGAAGATGTTCAAAAGGAAACACCCATACTACGCAGCAATCATCCTTAATTGCAGAAATGTGGCAAAACATCTCTGGAGAGAACCTCGAAAGTGTTTTCCATATGTGGATCAACATAGGCTACATTGGTGAACGCACATTTTCTGCAATGTTGCGCATCAAGTCACGCTTCCGTGCGCGTCTTACAGACTGCAACTTCATTGTGCTGTAACTCCTTTCGAGCGGAATTTCACAAAATTTGTCAGCTCCCGACAGCATCAGGTGTTTTATTAATGGTGAGTATAATTATTTATTTATTTATTTTAATGAATGTAATTGATTAGATAATATATTTAGGCTATAATATATAATATTATAATATAATATTATATATATAATCTGGTTGGTTTGTATTGGTGACGTAATATGTAAATGATATGCGTGCGGCCCATGAGACTTGCACTTGGACCATAGTGCGGCCCAGTGGAAAATAATGTTGAGAACCACTGACATGAAGGAAGGGTATCTGAGCATTTGTAAAAATTCAACAATATTTCAAAGTGCAAATTATTGTGAAATGTTTGTCTAAATAAGTGTGATTTTATTTAGCACATACAACTGATAAGTGCTTTATTTAGCACACACAACTATATAATTTATCACAAAAAATATATATGTAATCTCATGAATATTTATATGGAACAGTGATAGAGAGTTCTAAACTAATCGTTAGGAGGAGTTTGTTTATCTAATTCTGTCAATTACACAAATATGAGTGATTTACACATTTACAATTACATATAAGTATCACCGGTCACAATTTATTTTAAGGTCCAATTCTCACTATTAACAAACTATTAACTACGACTTTTGCCTCAATAAACTCCTAATTTGTTGCTTATTAATAGTAAGGTAGTTGTTAAGTTTAGGTATCAGGTAGGATTAGGGATGTAGAATATGGTCATGCAGAAAGTGCTTTATAATTAGAAATAAACAGCCAATATGTTAATAATAATATGCATGCTAATAAGCAACTAGTTAATAGTGAGATTTGGTCCCTATACTAAAGTGTTACCGTACCACCACAAGTGACTGAGTTCAATATTTAGGCACAACAATACCAAAACCAACAAATGCAGAAACAATGTCTGATTTAATCTTCTTTTTTTTTTTCATTTACATTTTCATTAATTTTATATTTGGATTTTATATTCATTTACTTTTTAATTAAAACCCATTAACATGTTAAATACATTTAATAGTATTAAAATGTTTTAATTTATCTAATTTATTTTTTGAAAAAAAAAAAAAAATCAATCAATTAAATTTTCTATAAACCTCAAGAGAATTTGTAAAGATTTAAATATGTAAACTTGTATAGAAATAAGCTGTATGAGTTTATTTGTAAGGTGTCCATATGGTAAACTCTTAATTTGCTGCTTATTGATAGGAAGTAAGGTGGTTGCTGTAGTAGTTATGTTTAGGTAAGGGGTAGAGTTAATGGATTTAGAATACGGTCCTGCTGAATAAGGCATTAATATGTGTTTACAAGTACTAATAACCAGCCAATATGCTAGTAATATGCATGCTAATTAGCAACTAGTTAATAGTGAATAGTGTTCCCTAATAGTGTAACCATATGTTTTGCCTAATCAGAGTGAACCTAGCTCTCAGTAATAATTTTAAGAGGTGTGTACGTCTTAATGAATGACAAACATCTTGCCTGTCTGCGTGTAGTGCATCCAGTTTAGAATGACCTCAGGGGCCCGGTACCACCGCGTCACCACGTAACCTGTCATCTCTGCTTCTGCATGGCGCGCCAGGCCAAAATCCAGGATCTGCAGGCAGACCAAACGCAGAGCGTCACTGTCAACCATAAGAGGGTTACGCTTCTCTCTTTTATGGTGAAAGAATGGTGGCACAAACCTTCAGCTCACAGTCTTGGTTCACAGCCAGGTTTCCTGGTTTGAGGTCCTGCAATGCATAAAGGTGTTAATCTTCCTACAAAGACATTGTTCTTGAACAATTACACAACATCTTAATGGGTTTCTTAAGAAATCTTAATTCTGAATGCAGTAAGCTGTATTTCACATTGAAAGTGAGCCAGGCGGCTTCCAACAGATCTGAGCATGTACAGGCACTGCCTCACCAAACAGGAAATTACTGGGATTACCTCACAGGACAATGTGTAATAAGGGAAGCTCAGACAAAGCAAAAAGCACATTTCAGAACCTGCATGTAAAATAAAAAATAGGATAAATTGGATAAATCACTACTGTAGCTTGGCATACATTCATTTTTTGGACATTTCAATCTGTGCATCTACCATTTAAAACATACTGCCAGAATGTCTCCAGAAAAGCACTTCTACAACTCTAAGAGCATTTTAATATTGTATTATAGATACACACACACTACCATTCAAAATTCTGGGGTCAGTAAGATTTTTTGACATATTATACAGAATGGATGCATTAAATTGATCAAAAGTTATAGTAAATACATTTAAATAGTTACAACTTATTCTATTTATCAAAGAATCCTACAAAAATTGTAATAGTGTTGACAAAAATATTAAGCAACACAACTGTTTTCAACATTGACAATCATCCAGTTTAGAATGACCTCAGGGGCCCGGTACCACCTCGTCACTACGTAACCTGTCATCTCTGCTTCTGCATGGCGCGCCAGGCCAAAATCCAGGATCTGCAGGCAGACCAAACGCAGAGCGTCACTGTCAACCATAAGAGGGTTACGCTTCTCTCTTTTATGGTGAAAGAATGGTGGCACAAACCTTCAGCTCACAGTCTTGGTTCACAGCCAGGTTTCCTGGTTTGAGGTCCTGCAATGCATAAAGGTGTTAATCTTCCTACAAAGACATTGTTCTTGAACAATTACACAACATCTTAATGGGTTTCTTAAGAAATCTTAATTCTGAATGCAGTAAGCTGTATTTCACATTGAAAGTGAGCCAGGCGGCTTCCAACAGATCTGAGCATGTACAGGCACTGCCTCACCAAACAGGAAATTACTGGGATTACCTCACAGGACAATGTGTAATAAGGGAAGCTCAGACAAAGCAAAAAGCACATTTCAGAACCTGCATGTAAAATAAAAAATAGGATAAATTGGATAAATCACTACTGTAGCTTGGCATACATTCATTTTTTGGACATTTCAATCTGTGCATCTACCATTTAAAACATACTGCCAGAATGTCTCCAGAAAAGCACTTCTACAACTCTAAGAGCATTTTAATATTGCATTATAGATACACACACACTACCATTCAAAATTCTGGGGTCAGTAAGATTTTTTGACATATTATACAGAATGGATGCATTAAATTGATCAAAAGTTATAGTAAATACATTTAAATAGTTACAACTTATTCTATTTATCAAAGAATCCTACAAAAATTGTAATAGTGTTGACAAAAATATTAAGCAACACAACTGTTTTCAACATTGACAATCATAATAAATGTTTCTTGAGCACTAAATCAGCATATTAGCATGATTTCTGAAGGATCATGTGACACTGAAGAATGGAGTAATGATGCTGAATATTCAGCTTTGCATCACAGGAATAAATTACATTTTGTAATATATTAAAACAGAAAACAGTTATTTTAAATTGTAATATTATTTCACAATATTACAGTTTTACTGTATTTTTGATGAAATACAGCCTTGGTGAGCATAAGAGACTTCTTTCAAAAATATTTAAAAAATCTTACTGACCCCAAACTTTTGGACAGTATTACTGTATATGCCTATTTTCATAATCCAATAATGTTTCACAAATTTGTACATGAACTTTCTTTTCCATTATTTGGAATTTGGATAAAGATATTCATAAATAATGAAGAAAAACAGCTTTACATGTTGTAATACTCGAGTAAAAACAAGACTCATAACAGCAATCCATTATATTAAATCTAATTGGATGAGCAACATCTGAGGCTGTTGTAAACTAGTTAATGTGTGACTAAATACGAATTAGAAATATATTTATTCCTCTTAATCTGAGAGGGATGACTATTCTCTCATCTTCTCAGTTTTTAATGATTGTTGATAGTCCACTGATCAATACATATTAGCGAATTAGCAGTAAGTAAATGTAATTCATGGAAATGAAAACTCCCCCATGGAGCACATTTGCATCTCCCCGGGAAGAGCTACAACGATCCCAAGAGAGGCCATGTGTCTTTAATTCAGATCTGTGTGGAAATGATAACTATGAGCAGATGCTGTTTATTCATTGCCAGTCTCACTTACTCTGTGAATGATGCCAGCACCATGAATGTACTGTGGAGTGGAGAGAAACAGAGGGACAGAGAGGAAATAAGAAATACCACAAATCAGTATTATGACATTCTTCACAGTGTTATGTTTTAGTATTTGATTACACTAATAGGATTGATCTGAAAGATTGTATTACCATTCCTAATGGCAATCATCTTAAGCCCAAAGTATACTTCTGTTTGTACAAGTACATAATTTTTCTCCTCAATTATTCAGTAGCTTTAGTTTTGTCAGATGTTTACCAACTTAAAGTCAACAGGAAACCACATTCACAACCCAGTTTACTTTGGTAATGTGATGTATTTATAGAAAAAAGAAAGTAAAAGAAGCAACTCTTTCTTAATCAGGAATGGAATGGATTATGGTTAATTCAGTGGTGGAGCATTTTGCTTGTAATAAAGTGCACTGATGAATCATGTACAGCAAGTCCACAAACATACACTACCGTTCAAACATTTGAGGTCAGTTAGATTTTTTAAAAACGTCTTTATGCTCGCCAAGACTGCATTTATTTGATCAAAAATACAGTAAAAAAGAAATATTGTGAAATACTATTACAATTAAAAAGAACTGTTTCTATTAATATACTTTTATGTATGAAATGTAATTTATTCCTGTTATGGAAAAGCTGAATTTTCAAAAAACATCATTGCTTATTAATATCAATTTGCTTAATATTTTTGTGGAAACTTGATACTTTTTTTAAAATAGAAATATTTTCTAACACTATAAATGTCTTTACTGTCAGTTTTGATCAATTTAATGCATCCTTGCTGAATAAATGTATTAATTTCTCTCAAAAAATAACTTCTCACTGACCTTGGACTTTTGAACGGAAGTGTATTAACAGTCAATTTTGGTTCCATGTTCTGTTCTGACTGGCTGTGTTGCATCACACAGCATTTTAATTGTCAGAAACTGTTGTAAACTTGTCACATCACGCCTGGTTGGGAAAATGTTGCCTCTTTTTGTGAGTCTGACCTTTAGTCCGCACAGCATTTGATAGACCAGGAACTGGATACGGTCTTCTGTAAGGATGCCCTTGACTTTAGAGAGGTCTGTGTACATGTACGGCATCACCAGGTAGCTAAAACAGAAAGGAACTGCTTATTTCATTCTTTAAAGGAATAATTCACCCAAAGATTAATTCTGTCATTATTTATTGACTGTCATGTCATTTAAAACCCATTTTCTTCTGTTGTTTTGAAAAAAAATAAAAATAAATAAATAAATAAATATTGAGTAGATAAATACAGAATTCTCATTTTTTTCTCTTTAAATATGACTTAGACATATGGCTAACAGATCGATTTTACATACAAAGGCCTCATTAAAAACTTACAAGTCTTGGAAGTCGTCCAGTCTGGAGGCAGGAGTGAAGACGTCTAGCAAGCCTATTACCTTGGGTTGGACAGCAAAAAAGCAAGTGAGTCACGGCCTTTTCAAGATGTTATAATGGTGTTCGATGGACAGACTGACTGAATAAAGCTGCCTCGGTTTCAATGTAATCTTTGAAATACTTATATAAGGCGCTTATAGTTTATGACACCACAATCAATCATCAGTGTGTCTCCAGGTGCCACAAGTATCCTGTTCTGAACTTACACACCGAGTCCGCCAAGCTAAACATTTGACACTCACGCCATTCTCAATAAAAACAATGCGAGTATGGTGTGATACAAGTCTTTCTGTGCCTTACAAAAGTCATTCAAGCCATTGAAACTGCTGGAAAATAAGAACTAACAATGTAAGCAACAAGATCTGACCTCAAGGCACGGCAGGCATAAAAGACACTTACATTTTCATGTTTCATATGCTTGAGCAGCCTCAGTTCACGATAGGCTCTCTTCGCGAAGATCTCTGACTGAAAGGGTCGGTGCAGCTTCTTGATAGCCACCTTCTCTTTGGATTTATTATTAATGGCCGAGCTAAGAAAAGGAGAACAATCATAATCATGAAAAAATATTTTGAACTGAGGTTGAAGGTTTAATGACACACTGTTACAGATTCAGGAACTGATATAGAAACTGCAATATTCAAATAAGAATCTGCACAAGCATGTTAGTTGACGTTGCTTGGCTTCAAAGACTTGTCAAAGCATGTGGGTTACACAGTCCCCCAACTTTCACCAGTGTCTGATCTTAGAGCTGTTGTGAAGGTTTTGTGGCATTAAACCATGAACAGGAAATGTCAAAGCTGCTGGGATATATCATATCATGACTAAAGGTGCGTTCCATTCGACCGTAAGTGGACTGCGAAGTAGACTTCACAGGGTATTCCGCCATCTTAAGTGAGATTCCAATCCGAAGGGAGCGAACATGTTCAGTTCGAAGGTCACTGCGAACGGCATAGGGAATAAGGGAACATCGATACGTCACTTCACAGGAAGTGGAGAGGGAAAATCACCCAACTGTCATTGCGCACCGCGTCACCAGTCAGAACTAACGATAAAGCAGAGCCATTGAAAGAATTTTTAAAAGACTCTGCAATGGAAGGGTTGCAATAAATGTATTAGCCGATTATACAAATTAGAGTATTTATGAATGGTTATGGAGATTAATGTTACATTTGCATATTGTATTGTATGAATAGGTGAAACTACGTAAAAACTGGCGAGAAACAGCTGAGGCCCTGTCATTTTTTATTTTACTTTATTTACCTCAGGAGAGTTAGCTACTCGAAAGCGCACGAGATGAAACCACTACAATCTGTTAACAGTCTAAACATATCAATTTTGACTATATTTATTAGATACATAATTGTATAGCCGTTGTATTTTATATGTATTTACATTGAAAAGTAAAATAAATTACAATATTTATTTATATTATATCATAATCTGTGTGACCCCGTCATTGCCTTTCTATGATGACATCCGAAGGGAGCGAACATGTTCAGTTCAAAGGTCACTGCGAACGGCATAGGGAATAAGGGAACATCGATACATCACTTCACAGGAAGTGGAGAGGGAATATCCCCCAACTGTCATTGCGCACCGCGTCACCAGTCAGAACTAACGATAAAGCAGAGCCATTGAAAGAATTTTTAAAAGACTCTGCAATGGAAGGGTTGCAATAAATGTATTAGCCGATTATACAAATTAGAGTATTTATGAATGGTTATGGAGATTAATGTTACATTTGCATATTGTATTGTATGAATAGGTGAAACTACGTAAAAACTGGCGAGAAACAGCTGAGGCCCTGTCATTTTTTATTTTACTTTATTTACCTCAGGAGAGTTAGCTACTCGAAAGCGCACGAGATGAAACCACTACAATCTGTTAACAGTCTAAACATATCAATTTTGACTATATTTATTAGATACATAATTGTATAGCCGTTGTATTTTATATGTATTTACATTGAAAAGTAAAATAAATTACAATATTTATTTATATTATATCATAATCTGTGTGACCCCGTCATTGCCTTTCTATGATGACGTTCCAGGGTGTTCCAAATGAGCGATTTTTGTCAGTGAGTCCACTTCAACGGATATCCCGTGCTTAGGGAGTAGGGAGCAGTGAACACTGCGTAGGGACCCTGTCAATCGGAACGCACCTTTAGTAACTATTCCAGTTTTACTAGTAAATATTCATTAGGTAGTAGTACTTATTTCCCAGTTATTAACTATTTAGTTATGAGCAACTAAAGAATTAGTATGGAATACCTACCTGTCAGTGTTGCAATAGTGACTAGTTGCAAACCTAAGTACTAGTCAAGTCATACAGTAGTACCTAAGTACTACTGTATTAAAGTCACTATTACCAGTGTTGGGGGTAACGCATTACAAGTAACGCGAGTTACGTAATCAGATTACTTTTTTCAAGTGAAACAAAACAATTAAAAAAAGTTAAGAACGAAACAAAACATCAAATTAAGTTCCATTTCTTGACAGTGATAGATAGATAGATAGATAGATAGATAGATAGATAGATAGATAGATAGATAGATAGATAGATAGATAGACGTTAACATAGGACCAAGTTAATTAAAAGTATTATTTTTTAGGCTTTTATGGAAAAAGTGCAAAGTAAAATTTTATTTTAACAATTTTGTAAATGTATTTTAGGGGAACTAAAGTCAGAGAAATTCTGCAATTCTACATTGTAAAATTACAATTTTAGACAAACATGAGAGAAATGTGTACACATAGCTATAAGTGAAAATGAAATGTGCTGGTATTTTAATAGAGAAATTCTGCAAACACTTAATTTAGGTAAATTAAACAAAACAATTAAAAAAAGTTAAGAATGAAACAAAACATCAAATTAAGTTCCATTTCTTGACAGTGATAGATAGATAGATAGATAGATAGGATGAGGGAAACATGTAAATAAAAATGGTTAATACATGCGTTTGTGACATTTCAGAGAAATTCTGCAAATTTCACAAACACTTAATTTAGATCTTTTTTTTTTTTAAAGTTAAGAACTAAACAAAATATCAAGTATCATTTCTCAGAGAGAGGAAGGGAGGGAGAGAGATTCAAAATGTAGATAGCCTAAAATGATCAAATTAGGCAAACATACTTAAAAATAAAAATGGCTAATAAATGTGCTGTGATATTTTAATAGAGAAATTCAGCAAGCACTTAATTTAGGCAAAATTAAAAAAGAAGCTAAGAACTAAGCAAATATCAAATCAAGTATAATTTCTTATACATACATACATACACACACACATATACATATATATATATATATATATATATATATAGATAGATAGATAGACAGACAGATGCATGAGTGAAACATGTAAATGAAACTGGTTAATTAATGTGCTGTGACATTTTAATACAGAAATTCTGCAAATTCAGTGAATACCTAATTTAGGTAAAAAAATAAATAGATACATAAAAAGTTAAGAACTAAAAATATCAAGTATCATTTCTTAATAAGAGAGAAAGTGAGAGAGAGATTCAAAGACAAAATTATAAAATAAGGCAACGTACTTAAAAATGAAAATGGTTAATAAATGTGCTGTGATATCTTAATAGAGAAATTCCGCAAGCACTTAAAGTTAGTTAATATTAAACAAAATATCATTTATTTGAGAGAGAGAGAGAGAGAGAGAGAGAGAGATTTTGCTCTAACAACAAATGCATATTATTCATACACTATAAAAACACACCTACAAGGCCCGAATTCACTCATGGGACATCAGAATGGAGCAGATAAGGGACTAATATTCAGCCTGGCTGTAATGGAAACTGGCACATCCTACTGGTATATCAGGACAGTTATACCAATGTGATGGATAGTACAGTAAAGGTTATAGTGAGCCATCACAAAATTAAATGCAGTGGATAATCTGAGAGTAGTACATCTTGGATATTCCCTCTTGGGCTTATTCATCTCTCTACTAGTTTTATGGGTACTGAACCACTCAATTATTGGAAGACTATAACAGTGAAAGACAAAAATAAATTCTTACAGGCTGTGCAATGAAAGCTTATTTATTTAAACAGATGTTAGCCACTAGATGGCACTGTCAGACTGTCATAATGTGAGCAGCATCATTGGTTGCAGGCATGACAGCTGTGTAATATTAGTCACAGAACCATCATCACAAACTGATTAGATGTGCCATTTACTTATTATGTGAGATTCTGTAGCATGATCCAACTACATGTTGCAACTTGTGAACCCATGAACACCTATTAGGTATCTAAGTTAAATATATAAATATGAATTTGTTGGTTAAAAAGGAATATGAAAACATTAACAGCTCAGCTTGTCTAATAAGCCCCTCTAAATCCATCTAACATTTTCAGAGAGTTGGCTGACATGCTCTTGTAAAAGTGATGAATAAAAAAAAAAGTCACAGTTTTACGGCCACGACTTCCTGTGTTGCAGTGCAGAGATAATTGGCTCATTAGCAGCAGACTACGTTGTGGTGGGCTCTTCCTTCCTGAACTAACGGTTGTGAGGGGCTTTGGCTCTTCATCCGTTCTGAATAATCAAACTGGATCTAAATGTCAGTAGTGTCGCTCTAATATGTATTCATAACTCGGGGGATTTTATTTATTAAAATATCTGGGTGGTGGTGTAAACCAGAGCTAAAATACACATTTAAACCTGGATTGACACATTGGCAAATCATTTCAAACGAGTACATGTTGGTCTTTCTATCTTGTTTCTTGGAAAGCCTTAATGCACTATAATAATGCATTCAGAAGTCTTAATAAAACAGTGAGAGTCGGTTTTACAGCGTTTAGAATTTTGCAGACTGTTCTGAACAGAGAATATGACAGGTATGAGATTTATTTTTTCTCCTTCAGGACCCATATTTTACACAGACATCAACTATAGCTGATGTTATCATCTGCCTAATTTTGCTAGCTTCTAATTAGCGATGAATTACGCCCACCATAAAGTTTGACTGGCTTTTGACATTAGCAAAAATGTTTTTTGTTAGCTTGTTTTCTTTCAATTAGCCCAGGTTTTGTATTTCTTTTTAGAACTGATAGGTCATACCTCATTGATCTGAGCTTATGCACCTCAGTTTTTGAGTGAAAGGAGCATTATTTGTGGATAATTTTGGCAATGTTCACTCAAGAAGTGAAGCGCATAAGCTTATTTTCTGTGGAAAAAAAGCATTATTTTGTGGATAATGCAATGTTCACTCAAAATGTGGTGTATAATAAGATCAGTGAGACCCATGATCAATCAGTCCCAAAAAAGAAATACAAAACCTGGTAGAATTGAAAGAAAACAAGGTGATAAAAAGACTGAATCCAATATTTGGTAATAATATAGCATAATAAGAAAATGTATTTTTTAGGTCAGTCATTTTTGCAAGTGAAACAAGGTGGGGGGAAATAAAATCACAAAAAAGTAAGAAAATTATCAAAATTTTGGGGAAGTTGTTATGTGTTAGCATAGTAAGTAAGTATTAGTCTAAAGCAAAAACGTTAATTTTTGGGTCAAAATGACTAACACAACATGATGATGGCTAAAAGCATTGCATTTATTTTGCAAACATAACTATGTATAATTGCATTTTACTTGCACCCTATCAAAACAGATATGCAACACTTTTGTGTCACAACCCATCAGTTGAGGACCACAGGACAATTTAATGGACTAAACCCAGAATGCAGTGTCTTCACCATTTATCAAGTTTTTCTGCATAATACTGTATCAAATCTTTGTCTTTTCTTCTAAAAACCCAATTTACCCCACTTTCTGTCTAAAGAGAGATCGGAGAATGGAAGAAGTGTGTCAGGTTAGTTTGCTTCTCAACTTATGAATAATTTAAAGAGCATGAGATTTCATATT